AACAACAACAACAACCAACAACAACGGCAACAACAACAACAACAACAACAACAACAACAACAACAACAACAACAACAACAACCAACAACAACAACAACAACAACAACAACAACAACAACAACAACAACAACAACAACAACAACAACAACAACAACAACAACAACAACAACAACAACAACAACAACAACAACAACAACAACAACAACAACAACAACAACAACAACCAACAACAACAACAACCAACAACCAACAACCAACAACCAACAACCAACAACCAACAACCAACAACCAACAACCAACAACCAACAACCAACAACCAACAACAACAACAACAACAACAACAACAACAACAACAACAACAACAACAACAACAACAACAACAACAACAACAACAACAACAACAACAACAACAACAACAACAACAACAACAACAACAACAACAACAACAACAACAACAACAACAACAACAACAACAACAACAACAACAACAACAACAACAACAACAACAACAACAACAACAACAACAACAACAACAACAACAACAGACACCGACAACGAACAACGAACAACGAACAACGAACAACGACAACGACAACGACAACGACAACGACAACGACAACGACAACGACAACGACAACGACAACAACGAACGAGAACGAGAACAACAACAACGAACAACAACAACACAACAACAACAACAACAACAACAACAACCACAACCACAACAACAAAACAACAACAACAACAACAACAACAACAACAACAACAACAACAACAACAACAACAACAACAACAACAACAACAACAACAACAACAACAACAACAACAACGATAACAAACAACAAACAACACAACAACAACAACAACAACAACAACAACAACAACAACATCACAACAACAACAACAACAACAACAACAACAACAACAACAACAACAACAACAACAACAACAACAACAACAACAACAACAACAACAACAACAACAACAACAACAACAACAACAACAACAACAACAACAACAACAACAACAACAACAACAACAACAACAACAACAACAACAACAACAACAACAACAACAACAACAACAACAACAACAACAACAACAACAACAACAACAACAACAACAACAACAACAACAACAACAACAACAACAACAACAACAACAACAACAACAACAACAACAACAACAACAACAACAACAACAACAACAACAACAACAACAACAACCACAACCCACAACCCACAACCCACAACCCACAACCCACAACCCAACCCACAACCCACAACCAACAACCAACAACCAACAACCAACAACCAACAACCAACAACCAACAACCAACAACCAACAACCAACAACCAACAACCAACAACCAACAACCAACAACCAACAACCAACCAACAACCAACAACCAACAACCAACAACCAACAACCAACAACCAACAACCAACAACCAACAACCAACAACCAACAACCAACAACCAACAACCAACAACCAACAACCAACAACCAACAACAACAACAACAACAACAACAACAACAACAACAACAACAACAACAACAACAACAACAACAACAACAACAACAACAACAACAACAACAACAACAACAACAACAACAACAACAACAACAACAACAACAACAACAACAACAACAACAACAACAACAACAACAACAACAACAACAACAACAACAACAACAACAACAACAACAACAACAACAACAACAACAACAACAACAACAACAACAACAACAACAACAACAACAACAACAACAACAACAACAACAACAACAACAACAACAACAAGAACAACAGCGACACTCGCACAGACACCTCAAAAAACCAGCGCCATTGACACTGCCGCCAGCACAGCTACCAACACAGCCACCAGCACCAACACCAACACCAACAACACCACCGCCAACGCCACCCCAACACCACCACCAACAACAGCAGCGCCAACACCACACCACCAACTCCACCAACACCACCAGCAATGTCACAAGCATGCACCACCACAAACACCACCACCGCAAACAAGAACAAAATTACAATTCAAACAACATCGGCTTAGCAGCATGGCTCAGTCAGTTCCCAAAACATCCGCGGCGCTGTACGTGATTCTGGTGTGGGAAAGGGTACTCCTTCACGTGAGGCTGGGTACTGGGACGCAAGTACATACTGGAATGAGATACTGATATAGCTATAGCCCCACGTGCAGGTGTTACACCCCTGAGAACAATCCGTGCAAGCATGGTCTTGTTACTTGTTTATGGTGGGGGTTCCTTGCGTTCATTTCAGCGGAGTGACGCCTTCCATGTTGGGATCACTTCAGGCCCTGGCTGGAGCCCAGCTGCATGTTCAGAGTGCCGACCTGCGACGCGCGGGCCATGGACCTATCCAATGTGCGTGTGGGGAAAGCTCTCCAGAACGCAGAGCTCCCATGGAAGCGTGGAAAAGATGTCTGACTCTGACCCCTGCCGTTGACGCAAGCAGGTCTGACAACAGGCATGGCCCCTGTAGATGTCTAGGTGGACATGGCTCAAGCAAGTTGCACTCCATGGGAGGACTTTTCAAAAACACGCACTCTAAAAACTAAGTCCGAGATAACCGCCGCATGCCCAGGCTTCCCAGATGTTCAGCATCCCTCCCGCACCTCCATGTGATCGCTCTGGCTGCTGTCAGACTCCTTGGCGCCCACTTTCAAAAAAAGCCATGCAAGCAACTCTCTCCCCCTCTCTCTCTCGCTCTCTCTCTCTCTCTCTCACTCTCGTCTATACACATAACAAATATTATGCAGAAAAGATGCTATTGTACCTGTCCCGATGGATCCACGTCAAAGACGCAGGAAATCAAACAAGAAAAATGCTATTGTGAAAGCACTTTGGATAAAAGCAGGCCAGGTTGCTTGGAGACCTAAGCTTGGCATTGGCAGTACAAAATTTAACGTTGGCAATACTTAAGAGTGGTACTTGGCACCTGAGGTTAATCATCGGAGACAAACATGATATTTAGTACATGCAAACCTTTTATCAGCACTGGGAATCTGAAATTGAGCATAAACTTAGTGTTGCCAACTATATATTAACCGTTGGCAAACCCAAGGCAGTCTGCGCTGTTCAGGGGGGCGGCCGGCTACAGCCAAGCCACCACGCATTCGCGTGTCCAGCCCCAGCCCCAAGCCTAGTTCCCCAAAAATGCGGCGAAAGCTCAGCCCCCTTCCCCTTGGACTACGGCAGTGCGAAGCGGATACTTTCGGGGTCACGTGTTCTTCAGCAGGAAAACCAACAGATAGAATATGGGGGCTTAGCAACATATCCCAAATGGATCCAGCATGATGTATGAACACCGCCTTCAAGATCTGGATTGAGCAAGTGCAACGCAAGCTGCAACGCTTCTACAGCACAGGGTCATCTGAAAAGCCAACAACAGGACTCCTGTTCTTCAAGGGGGGCGTCGTCCCTCCTTCTCCCAAACATGATTAAGCAATATTTAGTCCAAAGCAACAACACATGCTCAAAGCTGGGAGGCTGCCCGAATATTCTATGGGGTGGAGTGATTTTAAGCAAACAACTTGTATGTAGAAAGAGCAAGCACGCGGCTCTGCTCCATTAGGGAAAGGAACACCACCAATGTTCTGAGAGGACGCCCGTCCATTTTGGGAGGAAACCATTCCATTTTTGAGTGAAAACATAAATTTTGGGAGGACACCCATGCATTTTGAGGGGAAGGTCATCCAGTACAGGTTGAGAACAAACCCGTCAATTCTGAAAGAAACCTCATCCATTTTGAGCGGAACCCCGCCCAGTTTAAGAGAAACGATGAATTTGGGGAGAACGCCCCTAACAAATTACATTTTGAAAGGACAGCCATCCATTTTGAGGGGAATCCCACCTACTTTGAGAGAAAGCCATTCAATTTTGAGCGGAAAGCGAACAAATTTTGAGAGGAAACCGATCCATGTTGAGAGGAAACCCATCCAGTTTGACGGACAAGTTTACATTTTGAGAGCAACCCCATCAATTTGTTGAGCCATATCGGTTGTTCAGATTGCTTGCTAAAACATGCTGAGATTCATGGCAGTAATATATCATATTGCACATCATTGGCCGTCATGCTTGCTAATGAGCATCTTTGCTTTTTTGGGAACACGATCCCCTTAAAATTGTCATGTTTTACGCCACAAGTACAACACAAATACGGTTGGTGTCTTGTGTTCCTCACTTTTGACGAGGGACACATTGTAAATTACCGCCTGTTTCAAAGACATGATACTTACACCGCCTTCAAGATACAGATTGAGCAAGGACAATGCAGGCTGCAAGGCTTCTATCCAATAGTGTCGTCTGAAAAACCCACAATAGCACTCCAGTTCTTCGAGAGGAAACCTATTCAAGTTGAGGAGAATCATATCGATCCATGTTAAGAGGAAACATATCCATTTTGAGAGGAATCCCATCCATATTGAGAGAAGAAACTGGAAAACACGCTGAACCATGCTGAGATGCGTGGCAAACATGTTTGATATGTCCATTCACTGGATGAGCAAATGCGATTTGTTTAGAGTACATTTGCCTGTAAATGTTCATAATTGTGCAACTAAGCAAACAGTTAGAATGAATACCTAAAAAACACCAACACATATGTTTGGCATTCTACGTGTTTTATTCTTGTTGAGGCATAAACTCATGTAATTTACATGCTTTCAGAAGATTGAATGGTACCCTTAAACAAATATAATCCCTCCGCAACGTGCAAACAAATGGAATGGGACAAAACATCTAACTAATTCAAACAAAACGTTACGTTGCAAATTATGTAATTAGTCAAAACAAACCAAAACAATCTATTCTAGGTGAATGCAGCCTGATATACATATTATACACAACAAACACACATATCTATTGTGTATGCGGTCCTTTGCATTTTGCGCTCAGCTTCGTGCACTTGACACTACCTGACACATTTTACTGATAATCGACTCTTCGCGGCGGCAACAACATCAAGTTCTATAGCAAGCTGGGGGTGGCTGCTTTCCTACAAGTCGACGCCGCCGCACCATGGTCTCAGACGCGGAAGCGTCATCGCTGTCGAAGTCACTGTCTTCATCGTCACTATGCCAAGGGACCAGTCGGTCCAAGTCACCTACAAGCGAGGCATCCTTGGACGTGGCAAAGAAGGGGAGCACTTGGATCTTGAATTCTAGATCGACCTGTGCACCACCCAGATCGAACTTCAGATTGTAGCCACAGTACAGTTGAGAAGCACCCAGACGATTTCGGCCATGTGTGTCATGTTTACAAACGCGGCACGGCGAGGCTGACTTTCCACAAAGGGGAAATCCACATGGATCGCCGGGTTTCTTGGGCGACAACTGGCTGGAAGACCAAAGCCGTGTTGTTGATTCTGGCCGCAGCCCTGCCGCCACCAAAGGGCCTAAGATGTCGGCAGAACGCGGCAGCAGCTTGGTACCCTCAAGGGAGAAGAGCTCCATGTGGCCCTCCAAGTCTGTGCAAACATTGACCAAAGAAGCTGAGGCCGTCGCGTCAGAAACGTAATCCAACAAATCGCAGCTGGAATATCTGCGGCCGTCTCCCATTTTGATCCCGCCACGGGTTTCAGGCAGTGTTCTCCAAGGCACAGCTACGCCATGAAGCATGTCTCTAGCAACTTGCGAGAACAACGCTGCATGCTGGTTCAGAAGGGCACCCGTCGGCCCTTGCAAGAAATCATCTTCATCTGCCTGCAGCTCGCTTTTCAAACAAACTTCCTTGACGAGACCAGGCCAAGCGCGACTCTGAAAATCAGTATGATTGGTTATCATCAGACCATCTTTCCAAAAAACTGCAGCAAATCGGATCGCCGCAGCCACCTCTCGACCAGACGGCAATTGAACAGGAACTTGCTGATTCTTCTGGATCCAGAAGACGTGATAGATCATCTGTGTCAAGTCCTGGAATGGCCTCAACGCTTGGCTCCATGTTTGGCAAGCAGCCGAACAAGCCTTCAAATTTCGCCACAGCTCCAGAATCAACAGCAAGGTTTCCAGCGCGCTCATGCCCCACAATCTGCGCACCCCAATCCCGCCGCGCCAATCTGCATAAGTGTAGTTGAACAAGAGGTCCAAAACCACTGAGCCGACACACGGATTCAGCAGCGGTGAGGGCTGCGCCCCAGCTGCTTGCAGCACTCCCACCTCCCTGTGCTCTGTTACCACAGGCCCCGGTGCTGGGCCAATCACAGGCTCCCAGCGGCCGAGCACATTTTCACGCCGCACATACAAGAGCTGGGGGCCATGCCAATCTGGAAGGCCAAGCAGCGCACGCTGTTCTTCCAATTGATGCAACGGAATTACCTCTGCCAAAATGCACCACAAGCCGAGCTCCTCGATGTAGGCGATAGACATGACTCCGGGACCCATGGTGAAGTGCAAATGCCCGTCGCGCCGGAAAATTCCGTGGCACTGGTCCCATCCGCATTGCTCAACGCGCAGCAAAGATGTGTCCGGGAACACTGCTTGTGCCGGCTGTAGCTCCTTCCGTACTTTGCCGACGCTTTTTGCAGCCTGCATTGCGGCCTGCCAATCTTGCAAACGAGCCTTCTCAGGTGTTGGTACGCAATGCACCAGCGAGGCCCAACCACATCCACAACAAGCTTCCGGTAGCACCACGGGAGACTGCTTGCAGCTTACAGTGCCCCGGATCAGGCGTCCTGGCAAAATTGCAGGCATCATCTTTTTGCAATCTTTACACCAGGCTTCCAACTGCAGCGTGCAATCGTTGATGATGCCGCCACTCTTTACATGGACCCAATCATCAATTGGTGTGTCGCCATCAGGATCAAAGCCTTTCAGTCTCACTCCTTCTGACAAAGCGCTCAGCCCGTGCGGGCTTGCTGTGACAACAGTGGAGCTGGCTTGGTCGACGCTTGTTACCTCCACACAAATGTCCCGACAAATCGAAAAGGAGTTGATTTTGCTGGACTCCACGATCAACGTCCCTTCCAACTCCGGGATCCCCTTGACCTGGATCTGCGCCCCTGTTGGAAAGCCGTGGCCTGGAGCAGTCAACGTTGCAGAGTACCTGCCGCACTCAATCTTGACGACTCGCACGGCCATGGCGCAAAGTGTCGTGTCGCCTCACCCTGTGTCCTAGGGAATTGTTGTGGATTGAGTCACCTCAACCCTTAATTGGTGGTTTGGTTTCGTGGTTTGCACGTTAGGGGGTACCTTTCCTCCTCAAGATCCAGGGATTCAAAACCCCAAACCAATCCAAACCACCACTTAAGTTAAGGGGAAAATTGAGGGGAATTACCGAAGGGAATGGGGACCCCGGCCCATGGCTCATACATTTCTTGAAATTCAAGACATGTGCTGCTCCGCTCGCACGATGTGCCAGGGTCAAAATATGTTGATGCCTGGAAAGAACACGGAAACATACGCGGAAACTCAACTTGGTGACTCTCCTTGGTTTGCGTGGAAATCTGGTGAGTCCTGCATGTGCAGCCCATCCTGCACTTCACCAAATCCTTACTGCACCTATCAATGCTGTCGGCGAGCAAGAATCGAGGATCAAAGTACCTCGAGTGTGATCCCTGTCGAACATTCTGAAGTTGAGAGAACTGTCCGCAGCATGTTTCTCGACAGATGGCGCAAGCTGGAAGGTCTGGCTGGCTGTTTTCCTGATAGAGGTCTCTTTTGAACAGATGTGCGTTCGAGAAATATGAGTTTGTGTCCAAGTTTGGATACACCAGGACACACCAGCGCACGTGAGTGTGGCCATATGACAGCACGTGGCATGCCCGTGTTGGATGCAAAGCTGAACAAGGATGTCTGATGTCGATGCATCAGAAGAATGGCCCCAGTATTGTAGGCCCTTGCAAGTTCGGAATGATGCAATTGAAGATATGCATCATATGCCTCTTCACTTTCGCCTACAAGACTCCCACTGACAAGGCCCCAGCCTCCTGTCCAGGGCAGTCAGAGACACCTGTGCTGGCAAGAGTGTTCTGGCTTTGAGCAAGTGCCACTTTCTGTGAGAGCAGGGGAGTCCTTTTGAAAGTGCCAGTCATAGACGTCATAGAGATGATCCATTTCGGTATCACGGAAACGATGCTCGCTTGCGACTTGTTCAGCATTATCCGTTGCCACGTAAAATGACAGCTTTACAGCTCAGTATCCATATGATGCTTGCTTGCAATGTTGTACAAACTAATCTCCATGGACTCTTCTCTTCTTGTTGGCTCCAACCCTGGAGCTGGTGTCTCTCGCTCCAACCGAACCCACCCTCACCCCCTCATGTGTGGACTCTCCTTTTGGGAACCCCACCCCCCCACCGCACAGCTGCACGGCGAGCGCACGGGCCTGCACGGCGTTGCCTCGCCGAGCTGAACCGCCAGGTTTGCCACTGTCTTTAGAGGGTCCAAAGTACCCTGTGGCTTCAACAAAATTTGCCAGATGCTCAGAAGAAATCGCCCTGGCGACAAAGGATTTGGCCACAAAACGGTGATCTTGACAAATGTCCCTGGGTGCTCTTTGACCAAGCTTTCAAGGTAACCTTCCTCAAGCACAAAAATGAATGGACCTCAAAGGTTCCCAAGCCAAGAGGCAAGATCATGCGCATCCTGGTCACACAGACGCATAGCCCAAACATCAGCAGCATACTAACTGGTGCTGTACTGTTGACGTATGCTGGGCAGCAAAAATGGCAAGTCATTATAAGCTTCAGAGGAGCAGGTCAGTCCAGGGCTTTCGTGTGTCTCGGAAAGCAAAGCACATCTGCAAGCGCACACTGCCGTCTTTGCAGATGATATCGCGTCTCTGCACTCCATTGCCCGCGCAAAGCGGGTCGCGCAGCAAACCATGGCTTGAACCCTTTCACACAAGCCAACTCGGGCCAGGAGGAAACCGATTGGCCATCAGGCCGGCAGGCTGTCAGGTCGTCGCAAATCGCATCATTCTACTCCCCGAGTTGGGACTCACCGAAGGTACTCGCAAGCTCCGAGATGTCGACGCCTGCTTTCTTGTCCTCCGGGAAGCTGCTGCGAGGTTGCCGATCCTCAGGATCCAAGACAGGGACCGGATCCGCCCACGAGGCCATGCCAAACCCAAAACGAGTCCAGGATGAGTCAAAGATGAGCTCAGGCCATGAAGCGCCAAGGTTGAGAATCCTAGGCGCCTTCCGATGAAAGCATCTCAGACTTTCGCAGCTCTCGTCGGCCGCCCTCGATCGATATCCTCTCGCAGTCGCTGCAGCAAGTCCTCCTGCGAGAAGCAGAAGAGGCAATCCAGGCCTCACAGTTCGGGCCAAGCATGAGGTGACTCCTCATAAACCTGATACACAACTGGTTTGGACCAGGTTAAAAAGGCCCTGCAGTCACGGGGAAAGCCTTTTCAAACTGTCATTTATATATTTACTTTTTTCTGAGCTTCCTATCACGCTTGGTGACCCTCCTTGTATGGGTACCGATGCCGAAAACAAACATCCCACCAAAAACGTCTTTGGGCGTTTCTCTGCAAAAGGGATCTCCAAGACAGGAGCTCTGCTGGGTGGATTCGTTTGCAGACCAAATCGTTCTTGGCCTGAACGTTGTCCAAGCATGTTGGCTGGGTGACACCATAGAGGGTCTGCCAAATATATATATATATATATATATGGTACCATATATATATATATACACGTATATATATATATATATATATGTATATATATATATATATGTATATGTATATACCGACCTACAGCTGAACTTTCAACCGATTTGATTGGCGGCCTGTTTGTCCGCCGATTTCCCCAAAAAAACGAAACCGAAAAACAAACGCCGATGAGAAACCAGATTTGCCGATTTGGACCGCCGCTGCGACACAAGACCAGCCAGTCAAGGCCAAGTTTTAGGGGCTGGGGCATGTGAGGAAACCCACAAACAATAAAGCGCCTTTCTCTGCCATTTAGCTCGAAGCTCTCTTGCGAAACATCGCACACGCTTCTCTTGGCGGCGGACTCGGATGTGCTTCCGAACTGCACGGGTCTTTAAGAACACACGTTCCAAAACTTCCAGACTGTCTTGTTGGTACTCTCCGGCTTAACCTCGCTGTTTTTCCTACCAGGTCCTCGCAGCCCTCGCATACAGTCGCAATGGGAGACAGAATCAGGGGTGCTCCCTTCCAACGCCTAAATGCTTTGTGGTGCATCGAGTGGTGCTTGGGTTTGAAACGGAACCCAGCGATTCGGAAAGCAAGCGCCCCTTCAGCAAGAGCAGCAAACCCCCGGAGGAGGATCATCAATTTCAAATTCTCAGAAGAGTATAGAAGAGTCACGCCGGTTTAATGCCAACTGGCCGCGTTCCATGACTGCGTTGGAACCCCGCTGCTTGTGCTAAGTCACTAGGCTCAAAGCCACCGTGCTGCAACCAAACAAATCGAAAGCATAAATGTGCTTACTAAACTTGTGAAACATGTTGTCCGCCAAATTCCGCTGATTTCCCGCCTAATTCCGCCGATTTCCCGCCCAATTCCACCGATTTCAGGCCGGCTGACAATACATGAATTTACCGGAAAAAAAAAAGAAAAAAAAGAGAAAAACAAAAACAAAAAAAAAACAAATAAAATTGCAGAAATTGCGCAATTCACGCGCTGTAGAACGCCCTGCTGCTTGTTCCACGAAGCGTGTGCAGTCACACTATCTTACTTAGCCGCGCGTAGCCAACCAAAGGCCGCTTCAGCCACATGCGTGCATGTGGGGACAAGACTAATTAGTATGGATGCCGCTCTCGGCTGGAAATCGTCAGTCCACACGCAGGAAGTCGCGAAACTAAGGTGGAATTCTCACCACAATGTTGATGCCCGCGCGTAAAGCAAGCAGTCCTGAAGGTCACCATATAAGCACGGGTCTCCCGCCTGTGTTCTGGACGGGTTGGGACAAATGGATTGTTTTATCAACCTTGAAATCAATCAAAGATGAGTCCCCAATTTCGGTTGGTGTTAGCCTTGCAAAGCAGCAAGCTGGGTCTCACCAACCTGCGTGGGCACAAAAAAAAAAATAAAAAATAAAGAGGTCGGACACACGCTGTTGGAGCCACCAAGGGCCGAGCTGAAGGCAGGCAGGCAGCCCCCGCCCCGCCCACGCCCGACAGAAACCAATAACGTCACCTGTTACAAAAACGCCGACAGGAAACAAGATCAGCCGAAACTTCAAAAACACACCGAAATCAGAAAAGATGCTTTTTGGATCTAGGCCAGAACTTTGGCCGATTGAGAGGTTGCAGGTATATATTAATATATATATATATATATATCACATTTTCCATCTCCTTCGGGTTCCTTTGTCAGAACTGAACTCAGGGACCCCCAACACCCCCCACCCCGCCTCTGACTTGCAGCTCCCGCTTCAAGTCCGCCACACTCTTGTCGTCGCGACCCGGCTCCTCGAAGGTCACTCTCGGCAAATGCGCCGAGTCGGGCGACTTCCTCACTTGGCCGTGGGTCAAAAATAGGTACCCACAATGAAACCCAGGTAAATGGAACCAAGGAATAAAGCCTGCGGTCCCCTGGTGGTTTCATTTTGACCCATACCCACCCGGAGTTCGGTTTGCTTCACAAAGCAAAAACGGCCCGCGCGTGACTCTGTGGGTTTGGCATTCAAGGGGAAGAACGGAACATGGGGTCCGGTGAGCCGGGCGTCTCTCGCCCCATGATGGTGTTGAATTTGTGGAGCCGCTCCGGTAGCCAGCACGACCTGTGAGTCATGCTGCTCGAAACCGAAGTGTCCAGTGCACGCGAGTCATCGAGTGGACTCTCCAACTCGCTCGCGCCTTCACTCGACTCCTCAGCAACCAGCCGACTTGGAAATCAAAGCTGATCACCTCTGGGGACATCTACCAATGGAGCATACAAGCGAAACCAAACAGCTAAATATGCTCGACTTTGGGCAACTAAGACTCCAAACGAGGTTCTTGCAGCTGCGGCTTCCATTGTGGTTCTCGCGATCCTTGTCCTTGTGCTTCTTGCCATCCTTGTCCTTGCGGTTCTTGCAGCCCTTGTAGTCCTTGTGGTGCTTGACCTTGTGGCTGCCGTACGCCTTGCCCCTCTAGTGGCGTTTGCCGTTGTGGGCTTCGTGTTCGCGGCTCTGGTGTGGCTGGCAGTCCCTGCAAACGTGGCTGCGGCCGCGGCGGGCGCGGTGGCACCCGGGGCACTGGGCGCATTTGCGGCCGCGGCGACGGGCTCAGCGGACGGGCAAACGGCGCGGGAGACGAAGGCGCCGGTCTCGCGAAGGCCACCGGCTCTGCCCTCCACAGATTCGTAACCGGCTGAACGAATCTTGCAGGTGTCTGGCCGGCTTGTTGCCACAAAGCCGCTCCTGGCAGACTTCCAGCGGCTAGTTGAGCTGAAGAATGGGGCAAGCAGTATTTAAGCGCGTGCTTCAATAAAAACAACATGTCAATCAGGGGAATCGGGTCAATGCCTTGCCCAAATCCACAGCAACTTCCCAAAAAGTGTTCCCCACAATACTTTGGGCTCAGTGGCCCAAAGGGGCCGTCAGCACCGGCGCCGGCAGGGGCGCGGGTGGCCGGAACCAGCTGGGAGGTCCGCTGACCGACGCAAGGGAAGCCGCCGTCAGCAGCTCGCGGGGCGAGGATGGCCTCGAAGCCTTGGGCGGGGGGGGGAGGTTGGAGGTGGGCCACAGGTGGCGCAAACATGGGGTTCTAGGTTACCCCCGTTCCACGCGCCACTCGGAAAAAGGGTATCTCCCTGCCGGTGGTCCCAAAGAGTGACGTTGAAACCAACCGAGAATGTGGCCCTGGCCTGGGTTGGCCTGGGGTAAAAATGGGTCACTGACCTGGTATGGTGGTGAAAGGGAACCAAAAGGGAACCGAAAGGAAGCCATATCTGAAAATCTGGGTAAGCAACAATGATAATCCCGCAAGAAACAAGGGCACCCCCAGCAAAGAATTCTTCATCATGGGGGTAAGTGAGCTAGCGCAGGTGAGAGTTGGGCCCCCATCTACCCTCCCTCCCACTAGCATGACACCTGACAGTAGGGCCTTTGAAGAGGTAATCTCTCTTCCAACTACCCTCCCACAGCTATGTGGGGAACATAGGCCATAGGCCCCCCGCCATTACAACACAAATCGTGGCTCTCCCCGTAGCTTCCCCTTTAAACCAACAAACGTGGTACCCTCGCAAAAGCCCACACACCACATGTTAGTGGTGCGAAAAGTAGTCGGCATCAGCGGTCCCGCCTCGCTCCAAGTGTAAAAGTTCCGCTGCTTCGCCGAGGGCATTGGGGGCTCTCGGGTGGGAGTGACCAGCACGTTGAGTGCATGGCTCATGGTGCGCTCACGGATAACAAAATGCAAAGAGCCTCCTTAACTAGGGCTCTCTTCAACAAGGGACTTCAGAAACAAAACAATAGCTTCCCATTGGTGTTCCTTTGTAACAAGTAGGAGAACATGATCGAATGACAGTAGGTACCGCAGCACTTCAGTGTTGTGGTTGGATGTGGTTGCGCAACATGTAGGGCATCCTCCGAATCTCCAGAAATTGATAGGCCCTCGGATTGCTTCATCTCACCACTGGCCAGGCCAAAAGTTCTCCGAAGGCAAACTCTCAGCCAGCTCATTGAGCTACAAGCAAGTGACACCCGAAACCCAATCGTTGGGCCATGCCTCACAAGCTGCGAAATTGGCACTGCACCACTTTGCAACCAACCGCAAATATAGCAAGTGCCCCAACCGGTGCTCAAAATACTGGCCGGGATCCTCAGCAGGTCAACCACACAAAAACATCTAAGGATGTAGGGCACAAAACACTGTGAATATGGTTTGGGGACGGTTGGATTCCAATATGATGTCACCGGCCTCCAGAGCCGGTTGCCGTCCTCCACTTCGGCGAAGCCTCACTCTCATGTTCGGCGAAAAAAAACTGAGCCAGCGGCTTGCCAATTTGACTCTTCCGGGAACATAGAGTGGCCACACTCTTGGAGGGGGTGTTCACATCCTTTTTTGGGAGGCCGTGTTGGATCCAAACTTCAAAAGGGCAACGGCCCAAAATGGAAGCAAACTTTCGTCGTGAATGCTCCCTCGGTACCTTCTGAGGGCCCCAGAAACCAAACGAGCTGACCTGTACCACAGGATGCCAAAAAGACTTTGGCCCACGGATGCATGCCATCGGCCGAATTCGGATTCCGCCAAAGAATCCTCCTTCACCAAGAACTTGATTTCAGATAGGCCTCTCTTGAAGGAAGGGACGGGGTCGTCTGGCTGCCCCGTACTTTTTAGAAGTCCGCGGCAAAAGATCCAGCCACGTCGCCAGCCGAATGGGGAAGGCGTGATCCCAAGTTGGCGTTCGCAACTTCAGAAATCCCTTGTGCGATGTGGCATCGCATGTGGATTGCATTTAGCTCCAAAGTGTTGCAAACAGGCACTATCTGCTTGGTGGTGCGCATAAAGATTTTCCTGTCTCAATAAATTGGGAGACTAGCCGGTCAAAGCTCATCTCTCAAGGTCGGGCGTGCTTTCCTTTTGCTTTGGAATCTGGCGAAAAGGGGCACCTTTAACAAAAACTGGCGGTCTTAAGCTCTAGAATGGTCGGCGGCCGCCCCCGGAAATGCACGCAGAAGCCGGGGAGGGACACAGGGACACCCTCAAATGCGTGGTTTCAAGTTGGTGTCTCGAGTTTTGACACTCACCATAATATGGTACGGGGTCCAACAAAAGTGGGGGACCTTTCTGTTGATGCTTAACAGGAGCAACTATTTGGGGGTGGGTGCCCTATGTTTGGAACACCCATGGGACTTGAAGGCCCCGACGAGCTGTGCTGGCTGGATGCGCTTGAGAGAAACGGTGCAGTGCCACCTGACATCGAGGAGCAAATCTCTCCTCGGGTCCCTGAAGCTGGGGGCAATCACGCAAAGGGAGCGGTTTCTTTATGCAAAGCATCCTGAATCCACAGAGTCCCTCTTTACAAGCCTCAGCTCCAAAGTGCATCGAACGCCTACCCGTACCATTGTGTAGATTGACTTAAGGTCGAACGCCTGGTTCTTGGTGCCAGACCCATGGGTGTAATCCGAAATTGGAGACCCCTGGAAAGCATGACTTGCGCTGACTCACCAATCACAAGCAGGCTCTGCGATTTGGATCTCCCATGTTCAAACGTAATCCAATATTATTGCATACATGCGCATGTGACTTGGGTAGTTGGAAAAACACCCTTGATCAAGAATCATTGGCTCTTTGCCAATTCTTCCACATCCAAATTATATACTCTCCTGCAAACTCTCATGGAACTCGAAACAAACCTATGAAGGAATCCTCCTCTGGAGGGCCCCGCTTCTTGGGGTTCCATGCTTATCTTCAGCATTGCTCCCCAGACCCTATGTGCACAATAGTAGACAGTTGGTCCCTGAATGTCCCTGAAACCACTTGCCAAGTTTCTGGCTTCTGCTTCGGCACCATCTGGAACGGCTCGGCGCAACCACCCCAAGTTTCCACCCCTGTGCTTTGGTTGTCATATGTTCTCATCTTTCAGATCGGCTGGGAGGAACCAGCGAATCGAAGGCATCTTTGGTGAAGTTCGATCGGGCGCTGTCGCGGCCTCCGTCTCATTCTCCAAGAACAGCTCCAACAGAAAGGCTCCTCAAGTCGTGGTGAGCCAACGAAAACCATGCGGGAAGCCAAAAACCAGGCGTCAATGGTTTGGGAAAACAATGTCAACAACAAACCCTGTTGCGATGAGCCAACCCGGTATGGCCATCACGTGGCCATTGTTCATGCAACAGTTTCGAGGTACATGCGTGCGTCTCAAAGAAACAACCAGCCAACATGAATTGGACCCCATGTTCTCTTGACTCAGATTTTCTCGCTTGCAAATGACCTGCACCATACAAGGTTGGCATCGGGTCACAACATCAATATCAATATGAATCTGATGTTACCACATGGCTTCACCCCGTCCGTCGTCCAGCTTTCGACAGCGGGCCACCTCAGGATTCAGAGGCCATGCTTGATAGGAAATCATGTGTGAACGAACAAACAAAAGGTGCTACTGAAGGGTGGCAGCTTGTCCCAAACAATTGTGGGACCTCTCCAAATAGTGGGACAGGGTTCAACACCATTTTGAGAAAAGGGCCGCATCGGAAAGCATCACCACTTAAAGATTTTTCCTTTGATTCGGGGCGTCGAATTGAATCGGGGCGTCGTTTCGAGGCAGTAACCGGGGTTTATTTCAAAGGCATTTCACAGGTGTAAGGACTGGTTCAAACTTCCAAAAACATGGACTGTTGGAGGGGGTAGTTTGGCACTCGCCCCAAGCCACACGCGGCCACCTTCACGTACCCGTTTTAAACCCTGGGAGTACCCATTTTAAACCTTAAGGGTACCTGAGTCAAACCCGGGTCTGTTGCGGGTACTCCGCCCGACGCCCGCTGCGCTACGGGGGCATCCATCGCGGTCCGGCCAGGGCCTCGGCTGGTGCTTTCCACGAGTCTCTCCATCGGAAGATTTTTTAACTTTTCAAGCCCATTGAAGGGCTAACCTTCAGAAAAAAAAACACTGAGAAGGGAAACTCGCGTTCACAACTTACGGAACTTGTGTGTTTAAAACATACGCTTCTAAACCTCACGTTTTGGCAGAACATGAGCTACCAGTAAAAAGGTTCGTACTAGGGCTACGCGTTGGAGTTGACTTGGGTGAAAGACACGAGAAACGAAGGTGGCCATGCTAGTAAGAAACATAAGTACAAGGCTTACAAAGAAGAAGCCACCGTTACCTGTAAAACAAGGACTGGGCTGGGTTAATGTTATACCTGGGGGGGGGGGGGCAAATCTAGCTTTGACGGCCCAAACTGTGTTTTTTTTGGGGTTGGGACTCCCAAATCAAACTTTGGTGGCCCAAATGGGTTTCGGGCCACTATTTAAGGTGTCCGGTTGATCTTGCAGAGGCTACCCCCAAAAAGGACTCCCAAATCCGGTTTTGGTGGCTCACACACGGTTTCCAACGCATTTGTCATGTCCCGTTCAAATTTCAGAGGGTACCCGCAAAGGACTCGGGCGGCCCAAACTGGTTTTGGGACACTATTTAAGCATCCACTGTTTTGGGGCTCATTTTTTCAGAGGGCACCCACCAAGGACACCCGAACTTTGCTTTGGCAGCCGAAGCTGGTTTTGGCACACTGGTTTTGGCACACTTTTGAAGTACCCCAAATCCAGTTTTGACGGCTCAAACTTGTTTGCGGTCTTTTTAAAGAATCCCCCTTTGTTTCGGCTCAGATTTTGGCAGCCCTAAACGAGTTCTGGTGCATTTGCTGCCCTGGCTTTGCAAAAGGGATCGGCCACCAAGCACCGCAGGGCATGAAAACCTGCACCCTCAAAGTTACCCCCAAAGTTGTGGCTTAAAGGGAAACCAGCCAAACAGTAATTTTGAGAGGCTATTTTCAGGGACTCAGGGAAGATGGCAGTAGTTGCAGCAGGCGCTGCATAGTATGCACCCTTTTGGCTGAAGTCGCCCCCAAGTGATTTGGGTGCCGCATGAAGCAGCTCAACAGCACAAGGGGGAATCAGGAGACACATCTGCAACCAATAGAATTGGGGGGATGCATCCTTCTCCGGCAAGCATGGATCGCACCCGAATCGATGAGCTATCAAGCGATGGCGGGCCTTCAGATTCGTCTCGGGAAGAACAAAAGAGCGCAGCGGACAAGGGCATCTTCAGCCCAGCAGCGCTGAAGCAGAGACTACGGGTGCCCTGCTCTTGTGTGAAACCACATGGCCAGGGTCACCGCGCCACATCGCATCATGAGTATTTTCGCCAGGAGGGATTCGTCAAATATTTGGAATTCTTGGCGGCGTGGAGAGAGCTTCACAAACTAGACCAAGACCGCCTTGCTGCTCACCAAACAAGCTTAGAATCGTTTGTCTTTGGGCTCCCCTTTAGGTCCACGTTACTTCCCAGCTGCCCCACCTTGCATCGTAAATAGCTACACTTTTGGAAAGCGCTAGCCGAACTTGGCCTCAAGTTTTGGCCCCAACAGGAACTAACACATGACACATGCTTTTAGCTTTGCTGAGTTGTTTGATCGGCTACGCGACCTAGCTGTGTCTCAACAAGTTCTCCAGCCGCTTCACCACGCTCCTGTGCTTCAGTCAGCGACACCCACGCGCAGGCGACCCCTCACCTACTATTTCCTGGGCCAGAAAGTGTGCAGGGATGCTTGGCTCCGACTGCACTTCATTGGGAAATCCCGATTTCAAGTGGTCTTGAAAGCTGTGTTGGAAGGCAAGCTGTCCGCTCCAATGGATGCCCGCTACATACGCCGCGCGAAGAACACCACCGTG